TAGGCCAGTGGTGTCAAACTGGGCTCCTCGTGGGTTGGATCTGCATGCAGCGATGGCAGTTGCAAGGGTTGACGCAGCAGTCACTTACCAAACCCCTTTCTGTTCCCCCCAAACAATACACCTCACAAATGAGACTCCATACTTCAGACTTCACCAGGATGCCCCACCCCGGCTTTTCCTACCCCCATATTCCCAGCCTCTCCCCCAGCCCCACAGGCCCTTCCAGACAGTCCCCAAGTCCTGTCCCTCTAACCCCCATCCCTACGAAATTACCTGCCAGGGCTGCTTCCACCACCCTGCCTGGTTCTATGCTGGCCATATGTATGTACATGTGCGCACACGCACATGGCGCCCCTGCCTCCAGTCGCCCTCCCCCTGCTCTTCCTAGCCCCAAGCAGCTACTTGCAAGCTGGAAGGCTGCTGGCAGAAAATCTCCTTTACAGGAGAAAGTTTGCATTTTTTTCCTTCAAGTGAAAGTTTGAGTTTTTCTGCAGCAAATGGAAAGTCTACATCCCTGTACATCACAATAGCTGAAATTACTCATAAGCAAGTAAAACAAACTGTTTTTTAGTCTATAAAGTGTATTTATATCTAAATTGGAAAAAACCTATTACTTTTCTTATTCCTAGGTCACAGAGGATAACAGTCAAATTGAACTGCTAAAGAACCAGCTTGCTGATTGCCAGGAGAAGCTACATAAACTAAATTGGATGGAAGATAAGCTACACATTTTAGAAGAGAGACTGAAAGGGAAGGTGATTATAGATGAGAAGGACTGGAATAATCTCCTGAGCCGAGTCTTGCTCCTTGAAACAGAACTGCTGTTGCAGTCAAAAAAGGTATACATGAAGTTTCTATTTTATTCAATAAACAATGTATTATACTATCTAGCAGTAAGGATATGCATTAATTCTGAAGTGTTTTGTGGTCATTACCTATCAACAAAATAGGCCAAAAGGGAACTCCACTTCCTCCATGAGGCTTTTTTTCTCTTTCCTGTTACTTACCAAGTGACTCTGCAGTAAAAAAGTGCACATTTATTTCCTCAGGTTCTTTGAAGCAGCAGCATTGATTGTAATAGGAGCTACCGGCAGGAAACTGCATTCCTGAGGGAACTACAGGAATAGCTCTTTTATTTTATATATATTTTTCCACCATGGATAACTCCTGTACAAGCATTTGTTTCGTAGTTGGTAGGGTCGGAAGGGACCTGAGCGATCATCAAGTCTGGCCCCCTGCCATGGCAGGAAAGTATACTGGGATCAAACAACCCCAGCAAGGTGTTCAACTAACCGCCTCTTAAAGACCCTCAGTGTAGGAGCCAGCACCACTTTTCTTGGAAGTTGGTTCCAGATCTTAGCCGCGCTGACGGTGAAGTAGTGCCTCTTGATGTCTAGTCTGAATCAACCCTCTGCCAGCTTGTGACCATTATTTCTAGTCACTTCTGGTAGTGCTCGGGGGAACAGGGACTCCCCCAGTGCCTGCTGGTCTCCCCTGATTAGTTTGTAAATGGCCACCAGATACCCCTTCAACCTTCACTTGTGGAGCCTGAACAGGTTCAGGTCTCTTAGCCTCTTCTCATAGGTCGCTTAGCCTCTCCCTTAGCCCTGCTGCCACCTGATCATGCGAGTGGCCCTCCTCTGCACCCTCTCCATGTTGCCCACATCCCTCTTGAAGTGTGGCGCCCAGAACTGGACACAGTACTCCAACTGTGACCTGACTAGTGTCACATAGAGGGGGAGGATCACCTCCTTGGACCTGTTTGAGATGCATCTGTAGATGCATGACAAGGTATGGCTGGCCTTCCTGACTGCAACCCCACACTGCCGGCCCATGTTCTTCTTGGCATCAGTGATGACTCCAGGATCCTTTTCTGCCTCTGCACTGACGAGAAGGGAATTCCCCAGCCTGTAGGTATGGTGCTGGTTTTTCCTCCCCAGGTGAAACACCTTGCACATGTCAGTGTTGAAACCCATGCTGTTCTCATCCGCCCACCCCTGTAACCTGTCTAGGTCTGATTGCAGCCTGTTCTTCTCTTCTAGTGTGCCCATTTCCCCCACATCTTAGTGTCGTCTGTGAATTTGAACAGGGTGCTATTTACCCCCTCGTCCAAGTCACTGATGAAGATGTTGAACAGTGCGGGCCCGAGGACCGAGCCCTGCGGAACTCCACTGCCCACATCCCTCCAGGTCGAAAATGACTCATCCACCACCACTCTCTGGGTATGACCATC